GATGGCTCCTGTTCCTAAGAGATGGCAGTTCTTACCTTATTACATATGGTCTGTCAAACAAAGAAAAGTTCTGATGCCTCTCACTGATCTTAAAGGAATTATTCCTTCTCAGCTCAGCTTGAAAGGAGATAAAAATGCATACTGCTCATGATTTGAGGTTATGGATTTAGTCCAAGTTTTGGCAGAAAGGAGGAATGATACATATTATTAAGAACCAATGTATAGTAGAAACAATAGTTAAAATAAACAGCAGCAATACCAATTAGTGTTTATCTATCATGCTTTTTGACTGCTCAAGGGGTGTACACACGTAAGATTTGGGACCATATCACAACTTTGAGCAAAACTCCCAGTGGAGGGTGGATTTACGTGCGAGACTCATGTGCGAGGCTTTCTGTGCCGGGCTCCACAAATGACGCCAATAGCTTGGTGAGCCCTGGTTTTGGAGCTGAACAGTCACGGCTGTCATCTGGGAACCCTGGGGAGCTGTGGTTTCTTAGTTGTGTGTGTTTGTGTATGTGTAAGATTCATATGAATATTTCCTTCAGCAACTGCAGGACAAAAGTCCTTACAAACCCAGGAAATGACGACCTGCTGTCAGGCTGCTCTGCTTTGGCCGACCATATGGTGAGGGGCTGTCGTGGCAGCAGGCTGAATTGCAGATGCTTCTCACTGGTAATGCTTGACAGCACAGACATTTTGTTTTATGAAGCTATCTCCTGATGGGCACCAATATAACTTAAATAATGAGTGTATAGAAAGATACTCTTTTTTTTAATTTTTTTTTTTCCCATCCAGGAAGGCATTCCACACAAACCAGATCTTATCATAGAACACAGCTTTATTCTGAAAGTTCTTGCCATCAAGTAACTGTAAGAAAATTGTCATTTTGTAAAACTCACAGTAACAGTGTCTTGTTTTAATGGAGAATTCTTCAACTGTTTGTTTTTCTCCAAACTTTTCATGTGTACTATAAAACTACATATGTAACAAAAGATAATATGAAATCAGAAAGATGTATGTACTGGTCTCCGACTGTCTGAAGATGTTTCTTTACAAAAAAAAAAAAAGGTGGTCCCTGAAAAATGAATTTTCTAAGAATTCTAAGTTGTCCTGGGAAAATCATGTTCTCTCTCAAAGTTAGAATTCCATATCCCATCTTATCTGCTTAGATAAATTCTTAAATACGGGCAAGGTCATGTGTTACAATTAATCTCGTGTAAGATATGAATGCTGAGAAAATATTTGCAATGTTTCTTATTACATTTTGGAACAAATGCTTATCATGACCCTGCCTTGTATAAAAGGCTCCTTGGTGCCCGCAGCAGTCGGCGTTGGACCATGGAGGGGATGAGGAGCCTGTGTTTCTGGGCTGTCGTCCTGGCAGGTAAACGTATGGCATTTGTATTTTGTCATAGGCTTGAAAGCAAGATCTAAATGTGATAACAACAGAAGAGCTATTAGGGGAGATCTTCTTTTTACATGGAAAAGGAGAGAACGGGCATGGCTTTAACTCCACCTGAGGTGACTCTGTGGGGAAGACAACAGAGCTGGCTTGTTTAGAAATATATCCCAGTCAGCTCTTGGGCACCAACATAGACACACTGGAGCCAATGTGGGATCATTCTGCTGCTGAAAGCTACCCTCTACTTGGCTAGTTTGTTTGCTGTAATTTTTACCCCAGTATACCAGAGGTTAATTAGGTCTAGAATCTAATAAAGGGGAGAATACATCTTATTATGTTGCTAGATAAAGGAAGAGGGAATGGCTGCAGCAAACACCTTTGAAATGTAGGGATGAACCCCAAATGTAAAGACTAATACTATTAAATTAGAAGGTATGTGGTAATACTTTAATTCCTTGCTTTTGCTTTATTACAGCATTTTCTAATCTAATTTCACAAAATTGAAGTCAAGGTTTTTAAAAATCAACAGGGATATTTTTTCACGTATATCTTTCAAACTACTTTGCTTTAGTTTCTGTTCCCATGGAAATTATCATGGAAAAGCAGCAAGTAGCCATAGCTGTTGCTATGTTCAACTGCTCGTTTGCATTTCATCTTCTATGTTTGTTTACAGACATGGGCCATAAATGCAGTGAGAATGATGCAGAGATTTAAAAATTAAAATGTTTTTAAGAAGTAGGGAAGGAAAATTGCATCTTCCCACTTGCTGCTATCCCATTTGTACTATAATGGAAGTAAATTCAGAAACAAGGAAGCAGCCTTGTTCAGCTGCTCATACCTGCAAGTGCTTGTTTTCCAAATGTGCTGGAAAATTTAGTCTTCGCATTGATGGAGGGCGAGGAAAAGTCTTGGCTCCTACTGGGGCAATTTTTTTTTCCCCGTGAACTAGCTTTTTCATTCACAAGATCCTGCTTATGAGGTATTTTGAAAGTATTTTGTTATACAAATGATTTGATAAGTCTCTTGTGAACCTATGCTACGTAAGATGATGCTGAATTAAGATTCTGATGTAGTACGTTCAGTCATACTCTTTGATTTCAGCAGTGAACACACTGATGCTGCATTTGACTCCCATTAGAAAAAAAAAAACAAACCAAAACTAAATAAAATGTGATGGGTTTACTCTACTTTGTGCTTTGTCTGCCAAGGTGTTCACTCAAATGCACGAGCCATGTCAGCGCACAGCTGCTGGACACAGAAGCCTTGCATTGATTGCAGAGGTGACGCTTGGTACAGCATTTTTTTAGCCTCTGCAGTTGCACAGGTTTAAGGACCTCAGGATCCAGAGGGCTGCAGGAAGCCTTTGGAATCCTTCTGCCTCCCTCAATAAGCAGCAGTATTCGGTGCCCAGTGGCACAAAGGCAAGGCAGTTATTTCCATGGGACTTGCAATCTGTCTGTCTTTCCCACACCTGCAGCAGGGACCCAGTATGGAAAGACAGGGATTTCCCCACCCAGCCCAGTCTTCAGCGTTTCATTAGATCATTGATGAATCCTCTCTGATTTCTGCTCCAAGAAGAAATAATTTAGGGATTGCAGAGGGATGTTCATATTTCTATTACACTTTTGATGAAAAAGAGGATCAGAATTTAGGGCTTTCCCATGTGACAGATCAGGGAGGCGAATGCTGGACAGAAAGCAGCCAGCCTGTGGGGCACAGCTGTCGACCCCAGAAACCAAAGGTGGAAGCCAAGCCTGCCTGTCTGGCAGCTGCTGGAGGTTAACAGGATTTCACCTGTTAATTCCTGCCTCTAGAAGGTGATAGAGGTGTTGTGTCAGAGAGGATCGAGCTCCACACATGCTCGGAGCGCCCGACCTGGGCGTCAGATACTGCTGCATCAAAGGGAGGATGAGAGTTTTGTCAAAAGGCAAATGTAGATGGCACTCAGCTCCTGCTTTTCTGCGTTTCCCATCCCCTACTTGGAAATCAGCTCTGGCATCTCAGCATGATGGCATTTTCTAGCGAATCTACAGTTTTATTCTGTAATTTTTCCCAGTATACATAATTATTGCTTGTGCACATCTGCTTGTAAAGTTCTTTATATGGAGAAGCCCAGCCTGCATCAGCAATCACGTTTTAAGCTTTCAAGCGCACAACAGTCCACATGAAAAAACATTTAAAGCAGAGGTATTAGTCATTTTATGGAAAAGAGCAATTATCGTTCAAGTAGATTTAATCTTTGAATATTGCTGTAATGACTAAAATGACATCAGTTAACTTCAAAATAAGTATGCTGCCTGTGGTACGCCTGCTCTCTTTAAGAATATTTGATAACAGAGTGTTTTCTCAGTGTGGCAGGGAGCCGGTCTCGGGGTCCCCCTGCTCTCAGGAGGCTCTCTCCACGCAGGGGAACCACAGGGCTCGACCTGCAGCTGCAAAAAGGAAAAGATTCGGCACCTTACTAATGTTTTTGTCAGGTTGATTCTGCAAATGACTCATTTGTGCCTTTTCTTTTACTGCTGGCATCTTCTCTTTACTCATAATGTCATAACCTCTATTAACACAAACTACTAATACTACTTATATGTAGTAGTCATACAATATAGAAATGAAACCAAATCCAAACATATATATAAAACAGTATTTTTGTATTCACATATATCATACAGGTGCATGCTGATTTCACATATTTGTATCTATACGTATAGATAACCTCTGTGTATAACATGAGAGAGAATAACTATACTGAGAATGTAGCTTTTTAATATTGATAACAGTTTTAGTCCTTCCTAAAGTTGACCTCCCATTCAGGTAGCCTGAAATGTTGCTCTCACGCCTCACCAGCAGGTTCATTAGCTTGCTGTTTAACTTTCCACGCGTACTTGAAGCAAGTCATGTTTCAGCTGAGCACCAGCAGCTCTAAGCACCGAACAATCCAGACTCACTGCCTCAGCTTGTAAAAGAAACCGGTTGTTCTTGTCTCAGTCGTGAGCGGCAACAGGATGCTGCTCTGCTGTCATCTCAGTCAAAAGAATCATGCATATTAGCCCCCAAATGGGGAAGAAAACACAACAAAAAAAGGATAACTAAAGAACATGGCATTGGGGGGAGTTTAACGTGGTTCTTTGCTGCTCTGACCGCTTTTTCCCCGTGTCCAGCCCTGGGCGGGTGCCTGGGCGCAGGCCAGGACGAGCAGTGCGCCGGCGCT